CGGCCTCCTCCCCGCCATCACGGCCTCCTCCCCGCCATCACGGCCTCTTCCACGCCATCACGGCCTCCTCCACGCCATCACGGCCTCCTCACCGCCATCACGGCCTCCTCCACGCCATCACGGCCTTCTCCACGCCATCACGGCCTTCTCCCCGCCATCACGGCCTTCTCCACGCCATCACGGCCTTCTCCACGCCATCACGGCCTCCTCCACGCCATCACGGCCTCCTCCCCGCCATCACGGCCTCCTCCACGCCATCACGGCCTTCTCCACGCCATCACAGCCTCCTCCCCGCCATCACGGCCTCCTCCCCGCCATCACGGCCTCCTCCCCGCCATCACGGCCTCTTCCACGCCATTACGGCCTCCTCCACGCCATCACGGCCTCCTCCACGCCATCACGGCCTTCTCCACGCCATCACGGCCTTCTCCCCGCCATCACGGCCTTCTCCACGCCATCACGGCCTTCTCCACGCCATCAGGGCCTCCTCCATGCCATCACGGCCTCCTCCACGCCATCACGGCCTCCTCCACGCCATCACGGCCTTCTCCACGCCATCACGGCCTTCTCCACGCCATCACGGCCTTCTCCCCGCCATCACGGCCTCCTCCACGCCATCACGGCCTTCTCCACGCCATCACGGCCTTCTCCCCGCCATCACGGCCTCCTCCACGCCATCACGGCCTTCTCCACGCCATCACGGCCTCCTCCCCGCCATCACGGCCTCCTCCACGCCATCACGGCCTTCTCCACGCCATCACGGCCTTCTCCCCGCCATCACGGCCTCCTCCACGCCATCACGGCCTCTTCCACGCCATCACGGCCTCCTCCCCGCCATCACGGCCTCCTCCACGCCATCACGGCCTCTTTCTCGCCATCACGGCCTCCTCCACGCCATCACGGCCTCCTCCATGCCATCACGGCCTCTTCCTCGCCATCACGGCCTCCTCCACGCCATCACGGCCTCTTTCTTGCCATCACGGCCTCTTTCTCGCCATCACGGCCTCTTCCTCGCCATCACGGCCTCCTCCCCGTCATCACGGCCTCCTCCACAAGCTATCGTCATCAGGAGGAAAAAGGAGGATTTTTTCCTCCTGATGACGATTGCTTGTGTTGTGATCGAAACGTCGTAAGTTTTATTTTATTTACTTTATTTTTTTATATTTTTATATCTACAGTTTTCATGGTTTTTTTGTACAGTTGTATCAAACATTGGAGTCCCATAGGGCCTAAGTGATGGAGGAATTTAGGAGGGATACCATCTTGCCAGACCATCCCTCACTTCCTGTGTCCTGATGGTGGTGGGGTCATGTAAATAAATTGACGCCGATGTCTGATGTAATTGGTGATAGATCTCTTGTTATATGTTTTTGTCGAGTGGCCCTTTCGTGTTTTCCACTAGTTTGGAGGCTATAGAGTTGGGCAGGACTCTTGTGGTCCGGTATTCTGTTGGATTAGCAGCATCCAGGTATCATAGCAGGGCCCAGGCACGGTGGCGAGAGCGTTTGAAGTCGAGTCTTTAAACGCACTCAATTCACCGCTGGCATCTGGCTATGTCTAAAGACTAGTCGGGCCTGCCCAATTAGGTTGTACTGTCGGAGCACGTCCTGGGTCTCTTTTGTCCAGCAGACAGTGTATTATTTCTGGAAGCCTCAGAGATCTTCTTCTTGGTGGATGCAGTAAGGAGACCAATAAAACGGTGGTAACATTCCGGTGTTGCCAGAATTCGACTCACAACTCTCTCTACAGTCTCCTTATAGTGGCCCCAGTCAGCTTTGACTAGATTAAACCTTTATACTAGTTTTGATACAATCACGGGGATGGTGATGCCGATTTAGGAGATGATGGGCTTATGCTGACTTCCGGGGAAGCTTGTGAGTATTTTGCCAGATGCCTTAGTGTCCTTCCACTTTGATCTTGGAAACGATGGTGAGGTACCGGTGGTAGTCACGTTTCCAGCTAGCAGAGTGGAGAAAGTTGCTTGCTGCTTAGGATCGAAAACCAGGTGCAGATCTTCGGCAGACATCCAGTCAATGAGGTATTTGTCGTCAGACTGATCTACTGAATTGTTCCAAATAGTATGGTGGCTGTTAAAATCACCAACGTATAGGGCTGGGTTTGGTGAACTTGGGAGTGCTGGCTTTGGCAATTTTGAATTAGGGAATTTGTACACGTTGGTGATGTGCTGGTGGTGTAGGCGTCTTATTTTTCAGTTGGTGAAAAGGCGTATAACTCCAAGCCATATTGCAGGTGGTAGTGTCTCATCGTGAGTTTGTATCTGTGGATGTGATAGTGGCTGACATGCAGGGCATTCAAGCCATGGGTTTCTTGAAGCGTCAGGAAGTTAATGTGTTGTGTGTTCATGATGTTCACAAGATGCTCGCACTTCACCCGGGATAAGTCCCTTAATGTTCAGCTGGAGGATCATTGGGTATATTGTTTGGCCCTGAACAGGCCTGTTGACGTGGCTTGTGGTATTGCTCTGGAGACCAGGAAATCGATAATTATCGATGTTTGGTCACCGCGTTGATTACATTCGTAGTGATTTCTCACTGAACAAAGTGGGCCGCGTGAAGGCTGCCATCTTCATACAAACACATGCGTACAAGTCAGGCTTTGCCCATGAACCAGACCAGTAATCGTTTCCAGTGCAAGTTTATGAGGAACAGGTGGGCGTACCTACACTTTACCCCACCACACGCGGTATCTGATGGTTGACTAACTGTGGGGACACCCATTTATTCTGTTGGGTGAACAGAGCGGGGCGTTATGGACACTTGCCCCATTATTTAAACCGGCTTCCCGGCCAGGAGATCGGCTTAAACCGGTTACCTAGACACTGAAAAGCCAATGCGGTAACTGGCACCACGGCAGCCTCTATGTTTCTGAGCTAAAAGTTATTACGCTTAATGCGAGGCATTAGTAAATGTAAGGACATCCCTTAACCGGTTAGGACCAGTTTTTCCTCAGTTACTGTGAATGCAAATTAAATCTATTTTATCCCCCCCACTCTCTCCATACACTCTCTCTCTCTTCATACACCCCCTCTTTCTCCATATACCCCTCTCTCTGCACAAACCTTTTTACAAGAGCAGTTTCATATATGGGGTGCCTTGCCTGGCTAATAAGCGTCACGATTTTTCAAACTTCGTCTATGCCCAAGCAAATGTGGTGCCACAGCCACGAAGCCACTCTGCCAAGCCCCTCGCAAACCCCCCACACAAACGCATGCACCTCCTCTGAACACACACATGCACTCACGTAGGACCTCGTAGGGGGGTCACCTGGCCTCAGGGTTTTCACCCGAGAGGCCTCTCGTGGGGGTGCTCCACGGTTTCCCGGGGCCAGGGAATTGGCAGATTCCCCCCAGGTCGAATGGCACTGCGGCGCTGTGGATTGACTTAAAATTGTATTGAGCCTTGGAGGGAGCCGAGCTTCCAGCGGGCAGCAGGGGAGGCAGCACGAGTAAGAGGGCAAGCGTGTAAACAATGGACTAGGGCACCGTGGAGGGGGGTTGAGCCAGGTAGTGGGGGCGAGGCAGCAAGCGGGCTGCAGATACACCGGATGGTCCTGAGGCACGCGGGGAGGCGCTCCAATTGGCCGAGAGGACTGCCCAGCTTAGCAGAAAATCTCTTTAATGTGGGGAGCCACGCAACCAGCCTTCCAGCCACTCGAGCGTCTGAGTGACGCTGCCGAGCGCCGCTGGGATACGACACACAGGCAGGGACCTCCTGCACCCTCGTCTCTCCGACTCCCAGCACGGCCGCGAGGAATCGTGAGTACAGAAGAGGGGTGAGGGATAGCGTGAGGGCTCCCCGAGGGCTTAGTGGGGAATCGCGTGAGGACTCCACGAGGGCTTAATTCGAGATAGGTGAGAAGGGTTGAGAACAGCCAGGTAGGACGCTGCTCGCTGGGTGGCTTTGGCTCCGGGCCACGTGTGGTTTTCGTATAGTCGTGACAGGAATAAAATGTTAGCACAGAACACCGACGCCGCATGATTTCTGTGGTTGTGAAAAGAATGTGGGAGTGGTGTGGGTACATGCATTAGTGTGGCGATCGTCGCGCATTCACTGATAAACGATCGTGGACGTTCGCGCACGGGTGTGAAAGACGGATTAACGCGCAAATCTTACCCTCGATTCAATTGTCATTGTGCTTGTGCCACGCTAACATCGCGCGTTTGCAGAACGGATTAACGTGCGAATCTCATCCTCAATTCGATTGTCGTTGTGCTTGCGCTGCGCTAACCGCGCGCGTTTGCGCAACGGATTAACGCGCGAAGCTTGTTCTCGATTCTATCGTCGTTATGCTTGTGCCGCGCTCACCGCGCGCATTTGCATAACGGATTAACGCGCGAGTATTGTCATCAATAGCTCGCCGTGGCGCTGAGAATTAGCGCGCGAATATCCTCATTAACGCGATCACCTGTACCCACGTGTTTGCACTCGCCCATGCGCGTTTGCACCGGGGATTGACGCGCGAACATTACCTAGTAAATTGAGCGTGGGGGGCGAGTGAGTCTGCGTAGTAGCTCATTACCCGCCCCAGCGCCCGTGCCGCAGCTGCGCTAATTTTAGCGCGTGCACGTGGTGAGCGACGGTAGACTCGCACGGGTACGCACGGGGTTATTCATACAGCTATTGTTAGCGCGTGCACGTGGTAGGCAGGTTAACGTAAGGCGGTGGAGGGCCAGCCACGAGTCATGTCCCACAGAGGACGTGGAGGCGGCGAGGCCAATGACACGAGCGGCGGCAGCGCGGCGGGAAGAAGGGGAGGAGGAAGAGGGAGAGGAGGGGAGCATCGGCACCCACACAAAGATGGCAGTTTACAAGACCAGGAAAAGATGCTTCAAGGCGACACTGACTGCTGCTCTGCGGTGTCAATGTTCAGGGGCCTGCTTAAGGCACGGCTCCAGCTGGAGCACGCGTAAGACTTCAATGCTGGTGACCCGCGCATGTTCTTTGAACGGTGGGGGGCCGGTTTCATGGCGTGCGTAATGCGCAATGACGTGCTGTTTGTATTTCGCCTGCAGCGCATGTTCCGCAGGTAGTGTTTGGTGACGTGAGGCTGTATTCAGTGACTTTTATCGAAATGGGCTCCATCACCTTTGCTGCTTGCAGAAATAAAAGTAGTTTGAAAGTCAAACATCTCTCCATACACCCCTCTTACTCTCTCCATACACCCACTGGCGGAACCAGTGGGGATGGGGTGGCGGGTGCCCCCCCCCTCCCCCAATGATCCGATCGAAATCCCTAATTTCGATCGGATCATTTGGGTTTGATTGTGTAGTGTTGTAAATAACAGATGAATAAACTTCTTAAGACACACACTGGTTTATTGTCTTTCTTCCGACACAGTCCCTATCCACACACAGAGGGATATGCGGTTCCCTCACTCGTAGCCTAAGGAGGTACAGCCTCCGTACCTAGCGGGACCTACACACGGGTCTGGCTGCTAGCCTAGGGAGGTACAGCCTCCTAACTGGGGGGACTAATCTCCGTCTACCTGCTACCCTAGCATCCTCCGGCTGGGACCTAGGGGAGGCTAGCTTGACCCACTGCTGGCTCGGCGGGTCCCCTGACCACAGGTCATGCCGAGCCTTAGCTCTTACAAGAGCTGGGAGGCTAGGGAGCCAGGGTCCTGCCTGCCAGGACCTATTCTCCCCTTGACCACTGGTAACACTGAGCCTTAGCTCTTAGAAGAGCTGGAAGGCTTGGTCCAGGGTCCTAGCTATCTTGAGCTGGCTTCAGTCTTCATCTTGAGGAGAACTGGCGAGCGCTCGCTGTGCTCGCCCTTTTATACCCATTTGTAACAGTCCTTATCCAATCCCATGCTCCCTCGTGGGACCCTCTGATTGGTTCTCTAGAATCTGTGTTTTCGATCCTCTTTTACCCTAACTGACCCTTGGCCGTTGGTCTGGCGGGAAAGTGTGTTTACGATCTGCTCCCGCCTTTCCCTGACCCCGGCCGTTGGTCCCAGAGCGGTAACACTGCATTCCCCTCTGATTACATAGTGCCCTACAGGTTACAGCATAGAGTGTGTCTAGCGCCTCTACATTTGTAATAAATCGGCATTTTGCGACCCCCACTGCCACTGTGTAGCATATCATTACGTGCCAGTGACTCTATGAGATGATAGAACAATAGTCTGAGTCCATAATTTGCAATAAGTAATGGCAAAGCAGTTATAAGTGACTCAGAATTGTGCGCAGTTGCGTATACAGGACACGATTTCCCTGAAGACGAACACCTTCAGCGAGCGCGATGCCGCACACGTGTCGAATAAAAAACAAGGGACAAATCCTCATTTACTAACAACTCCTATAATTTTTAAATCCTTTATATTAAGTTCGCTTGCTTGCGTGCTTGCGTGCTTGCTTGCTTACGACCGTGCAAATATTTCGGTAGTTTTTTAACCCACTTCCCGTGATCCAATCGAGCTGACATTTTGCACACAGACTCGTTGTGCGAGACAATTAATGTTCGTGAAAAATGTTTTCCAAAATTTTACACTGTTTAGGGAAAACAAGTTAAATATTTAATTACCAATTGCTTAATACTGGCAGACAATCATCTGACCCATAGGTGGCAGCCATCTCTAGCCAGAGGACGAGAGGACTCTAGCCGCCACGCATATAAAGGATTTATAGTGAAAAACTTTGTTTTTACGGGTTATACTTATTCATTGCTGGAGGGTTTGCCCCCCCTACCTGAAAATCCTGTCTCCGCCATTGCATACACCCCTCTCTCCATACACCCCTCTCTCTCCATACACCCCCCTCTCTCTCCATAAACCTCTCTCTCTCCATACACCCCTCTCTCTCTCTCTCCATAGATCCCCCCCATCTCTCTCCATACACCCCTCTTTCTCGTTGGTACACTCATCTCTTCCACCCCTCCTCCACCCCACACTTTCTCGCCCTCTCTTTCCCTCTCTTTATCCTCTCTCCGTTGCAGCTGCAGGAGACACAGAGGGAGCAGCCCAGCGGCAGCACAGCGAGCAGCGCGAGCCTCAGCAGCAGCAGCGGGAGCGTCTCCATTGCCCGTATGTGCCGTGTGTGCCTCCGATGATCCATCCTGGGTTTAACCACAAGGCTAGATAGATCACAGTGCCACGGGCTGGAAAAGAGATGGGCTGATGTATATATAACCTCCTGCCTGGGAGGCTTCGATACTTCACGTTGCCTCAGAGTTAACCTAGCCTGGCACCAGCGCCGTTGTGATGTCACTGCCACTTAGTGGGGAATGGCGGCTGTTGTCATTCCAATTGGTATCTGTCTATTATTCGGGTGTTTCGTTGTCTAGGGTATATTTTAATAATGAAAGTAACCCATTTAAATCTGATTGATATCCTCACATGCAACGGAATGGTTGAACCCACTGGCAAACTACACACGTGGTAATCATTACTTGAATGCAAGCATGTATTTACTAAGAGCCAAAGTACCAGACATTAATATGCAACCGGTGTTCGATAAAACTTATAATTATATTGTTACGAATGTTATTGGCATAATTATCAAAAAGCAAATCAAATAGGCAATGCTCTGTATGTGAAAGCAATGAATACAAAACTATCCGACATCAAAAGCAGTAAATGTGTATGCACAACTGTAACTTGCTGACCCGCCCCTACTGGACATCTGTGAAAAATTGCTTCATAGCCCGTCGGATTCCTCCTATCTAAATTAATGATTCTGATTCTGAAAATTAGTAAGGACTTGATACCACATACTCGAAGTATAGTTGTGATACTTTAGTGATTAATTGGACTTTGAGTAATAGTCTGGTATTCTTAGTTTGCAGTTGATTAACAAGCGCTTCTCTCGGCTGTAGGAGTCTTTGTGCACGGCGCATCTTCCAGTGCAGTGCAGATCGATGTCGACAGCGCGATGGTGCAGTGACACAGCCACACACCAGCAGTGGGGACATGAACGACGGCCCCGCCACGACGATGACGCGGGTAAATAATGACAGCACTTCCGATTAGCATGGTTGGCTACGTATGGTGCGAAAGAAGTTGAACAAACATACATACGACAGCACAGCAGCTGTGCTCTCAATGCTCAACTCTGACGAAGTACAGACACGATCTCCTCGTGGGTGTAGACAGCACATCTCTCTCTCCCCCTCAGGCAACAGCTGGACATATATCTTCACCGTGATAATCGTCCGCGAACTTGTAGTTATAAAGTCACTCTAGAGCTCGTGTTGGTTACTGCTTGCCACTTGATGTCGGTGTTCTTTGTGGATCTTCTCCTTGAGTTGTACTTATCTCCACTTAGTCACCAACGACTCTTTACATGTGTAGTACTCACTTCAGAGACACTAATAGTAGCAGGCACACGCGTTTATTCTATACTTACACAGTACAGGGGATAACTACATACGGATCAGGACAGCCGGCATACTGCCTGACCCACAACGCCGAAGACGTGAAGACGGGGATGAAGACTTGCGTAGACGACGGGTTCCATTCCAAACGACTGCCCCGACCCAGCGTCGGGACCTCCCTTTAATCCTCCCCAGCATGGCCTGGCTCCGCCCTCGGCCACGCCCCCTTCTGGAACCTACCAGAAGGTTCTGGGCTGCACCCCACATGTCCCTTCTGTCACCTTTACCCTACATCCCTTACCCCCGCCTATCACGTGCCCTGCTGGCAGACCGGCTGCTGTGTCCTCAGATCCCCCCTCTTTGCCAGCAACCGGGCTATGCGCTCCAGTGGCACATTTTACCTGCCCTGTTGGTAGACCGGGCTACTACACCCACAATCTCACTCTCTACCAGTTTCCAGCGCTACGGGCCCTAGTGTCACTACACATGTTCACTCGTCAACAACGGCAAATCTACAGATCTACGTTATATATTGTTTCAGCTGCTCAACTCCTGAAAACCCCTCTATAGCTTACTGCTTTGAACTTACTACAGCTGTATTACAGCTTTTTCTGCTTCTCCACTGATTTCCACTACACGTCCAGTGGTGGCTCTGTCTTGACCGCATACGGTCGGATCTCGTGATGGAGCGACCTTCCAAGGGCACGAGCTGTTGCACTCGGCAAATGTGGACCACGGAGAGCCACAGCCACTGCTGATCTGCCCACAGTTCAGTTGTAGTATGCGTGGATATACTAACATCATGAACTGAGCAATGTATACCGAATATTTATTTATAGTATTATGGGATTATGCATATAAGAAAGAGCTGCCTCGTTTTTCCAACAAATGAAACTTTCACAGTTATGTTGAAGCCTTCCTTTTCGGAGGTAGATTGTATTTCGTTCATATTAACAAAGCTGCAAGCAATTCATTGTATGGTCGGAAAGGGGGAATACTCTCCCTCCCAGTTCCCAAGTTAGCTGTCAATACTATAATTGTGTTCTGACTCCAAGGTCAGTTTGACATGGGTCTGTAACCTCAGGTCTGCTGAACTAATGTACTCAATGGTATACCCACATTCTTGCTCTAAGGGGAGCAGTGGCACAGTGGTTAGCACATTCCGCTATTAATCCCTATCACGGCCAACATCGGGGACGAATATGTAAACTATTCCTGGGCCTCTCCTCGGTCGACTCAGTCTTAAATGAGTACCAGTGGTGGTGTGTAAACATGGGCACTGAGAGTCAAATGTGGCCCGGCATGGTCCTGGCCACTAACCACCTCGTGCTGGTTGAAATTGGTGTCGCCAAAGGCTATATGGGGGTTCTTTGGCTTTATTACAGACAGAGAGGAGTTGGATCGTGATCTCTTGTGGTGTTGCTCTGCCTGTGCGGCAGCTCCTTGGCTGCCATCTTCTCCGTGCACCTCTGTTCTCTGCCCTTCTTCTCTTTTCGCTCTTCCATCCTCTCCACAACATTCGTGTCCATCATCCCATCCCCATGTACAACTAGTCCAATCCATTTATTTATCCTTCCGATTGTACTACACCACCAGGACTACAGTACTACAGTATTAGTACGACAATACCAGTACTACAGTACAGTGACGTGCGGTGAGGTCAATGGCTGGAGAGGCACTGGCTCGTGTTAGAGCCAGATTCACAAACTGAGGGGGGCGTGGCCTCACGGAAGGGGCGTGGCCTCTCAGTGAGGCAGATGTGATAGCTGCCTCCCCTGGTGCTTTTTCATTGCAGTTTTCATGACGAGCCAGCGAGACTAAATATCTTTATACACATACGTGAAATAAGTTACCTGGCGTATGGAAGGCGAGGACATTAAATGAAAGGGTCTACAAATATTACATTGGTGACATACTGAGATAGTAACAGGCACGCGCTTATTGCCCGTGCTCTATCCAGTTACTGAGGAGTTGCACAATCAAAGGGGAGGCTGAGCTCGTTGTTGCCTCACCTCTCGTCTCTTCCTATATTTGCAGCGGAGCTCCGCAAATTTTGCGATTTTGACTATAAAAATTATTGGAATCGTACAGAAATGACATTTATAAAACAGATCAGTGGAAAAATCTAAATATATATTTTTTTACTTTTCATAACAGCTAATTTCATTGGAGTATGACAGGTGAGGCTCTGCCTCCCCTGCCTCCCCTGACCGCACATCCCTGCTACAGTAATAGTACTACAGTACCAGTACTACAGTGCTAGTACTGCAGTATCAGTACTACAGTATCAGCTCCCAACATCACCGAATAATGCTGCCAATACTCACGCCACTCAGAAAAATAGTCCGTCACACTTTAGACTCGAATTATAGGGAGAAGTCTGTCACGTGCTAGACTCACGTTACAGCGAGTAGTCCATCACGCGTTAGACGTGCATTATAGCGAGTAGTCCGTCACGTGCTAGACTCACATTATTGCGAGTAGTCCTTTATACACTAGACTCGCGTTATAGTAGGCATGGTGCGCGTTACGCGAAACACGTTTTATAAAAGAAAAACCGTGTTCAAGCGAAAACGTGTCGTGTGAACGCCGCACGTTAAAAGGGATTTACTGTGTTTGAAAAGTGGGTGACGCAAGTTGGAATGTGATCAGTTCTAAGCGCTTTGAGATTAGTTAGACGCCAGGTTTCCCAGCGGAGTCTATCTTGAACATAAGAAGCATCATCATCACAATCCATGGGTAGATAGTCCGTAGGTGTCCATTGCACACTTTGTCACTTGTTTCCACATTTCTCTGTCTTGTGGCAACTTGCTCGAGTAGTGCCACGTCTTTCTGGCACCAATATCCTATGTCGTTGTCAAGCCATTCTCTATTAGGTCTTCCTCTGTTTCTGGTTCCTTCCATTTTTCCGAATGCATTTTTTCCTGTTGTTGTCCATCCTACATGTGTCCAATTAGTGCCAGTTTCCTTCTCATCACTGCCTGCATCAGTATTTTTCTATGTGCGACCTTTTTCCTTACTTTTACGTTGGTCCCTTTTTGGGTCAAGCTTAGATACAATTTCCTTCTACAGCAATACATTTAGAATGCCCATATCATATCTCTATCAATCTATTTCAATGTCCAAGTCTCGAAGACATACAACGCTGTACTAGACACCCATATCCTTAAGATGTTCTGTTTGGTCTTGCAGCTGATTTTCTTTCTTCTCCAGATGTTATTGAATCCTGCCATTACTCATTTTCTATGAGATACTCGCTCTTATGTCTTTCGTGTAGTCGTTGTCTCATGTCAGTAGACTTCCTAATTATGCAAATTCCTTTATATTCACAATCTTGCTGCTTTCTAGTATTACTTTTTCTCAATGTCATCCGTTACGAACACCATAGTCTATTTCTTTTCCACGTCAATTCTGAGTTCTGGATCCTTTCCTGACTTATTTAGCATAGAACACTTTCCTGCAGTACTATACTGCTTTCTTACACCATGTCTATGTCATCCACGAATCTCAGGTTATTTATTATTTCTCCTTGCATAGATATTCCTGTGCCATTGTCCTGAATGGCATCTATCACTCTTTCCCAGTATATGATGACGTTATATGCTGATCGTCGATCTCCCTGTCTCATACCTATTGTTGTTTAGAACCATCCTCCTTTTTCCTATCCAAACTTTACTGCCGACTTTGAACTTTCACCTATATCCTGGAGAATATGTTAGTCTTTTCCCTATTCCATATGATCTCAATGTTGCCCACGTTATATAGTCAAATTACATGTTACCTGGAAATATATGAAATAGTTGGATACCAGCCTATTCTTTCTCTTTGCTTTCTCTGCAATAAGCCTTAATAATAAGATGTTCTGTACTTATTCTTTTCTTTACTAAACGCTGAGTGTTCATCCACCAAATAATCCTCAGTCTGTGCTTGTAATAGATGTAATAGTACTAGCTTTAGTACTTTCCCTATGTAGCTCATGAGTGCGATGGTTCTGTATTTGTTACAATCGGTGGGCTCTCCTTTCTTGGGTATCGTCACAATTATGAATTTTGTCCAATCCTCCAGTATTTTCTCTTCTCTGCATACTTGTTGGCATAACTCTTTCATTTATTTTATAAGTTCCATCCCTCCAGCTTTTCTAATGTCTCCACTTATGCCATCCACTCCAGGACTTTTGTTTTTCTTCAGATCTTTTATTGCCTTTTCTACTTTTACATACATGATTTATCATTTACATCATCCCTTGGTGGTGGGAATATACTTTCTAGTTCATCCAGCAGCTCTTTAGTCTCTTGAGCCATATCCCTATACACATTGCTGTAATGCTGCTTGCCTTAGTTGCCACTTCCTATTTGTGCTCTTGACTAATTTGTACACCCCCCTGGTCTTGTATTCTCCAACATAGTAGAACATGTCACGACATTGCTTTTCCAGCCATTCTTGCATATCCTTTCTTGTCCTTACCTCATGGCATATAGTTTTGTACTTAGTTGCCATCTCATCCAATTGCTTTACCTTTTGCCATATTTTTCTCTTTTCCTGTGCTAGTTACAAAGTTTTCTCAGTTATCCCTTTTCTTTTCGATTCTACTACTAAGTGTACTGTTGCTTCTCCTGCCTACTCCACTATCTTATTCAGTGTTAACGTCTTGCTGCCTATATTAAGGTTTTCTATATTTCCCCCCCCCCCCTGATTCTACTCGATATTTCCTCTTCATATTTACTCATCTCATTATGAATTGGCTCTATGTTCCTCTTCCTCTCATATTGCGTTCTGGAAACACGTTTAGTTTGCATAGTGCCAAGCTATGGTCCAATGACATTTTGGCTCCTTGGAATCTTCTGCATAGTCAAACTGATATTTTCCAGCATCTGTCGATAATTACCAGATGTATCATATTTGTATATTTTCCCTCCATGTATATTTTCTGCAGTATTTTTGTTTGAACTTAGTATTACATTTGGGCATGTCATGAAGCAAATTCTAGCAGTTTATCGCCTCCTTCGTTTCTTTATCCATATCCATACCTTTACATGATGCGTTCCTATCCGTCATTATCCTTCCCAATTTATGCATTCCAGTCTTCCACAATTACCTTAACATATTTCCTAGGCAGTTCCTTTAACCCGCTTTCCAGAGTTTCATAGAACTTTTAAATACCATCTTCTGTGCTATCTGATGTTGGTACACATATTTGGATGACCGATATATTTAGGGGTTGTCCATTAATATCGGTACAATTACTCTTGGACAAACCGGTCTGTATCCCAATAATAATGCTTTGGCTTTTGCACTCAACAAGAACCCTACTCCTCTGGTATGTACTTTTCTTACTCTGACCAGATCACTTCACCTCCATGTATCTCCCTCGTTCCTGTCCATCTTATTTCTGCCAGTCCTAGGCTGCTCTACCTTTACATTTCCTTTCATAGCAGCTCTCACTCTCCTGTTGCCCATAGTGTTCTCACATTCCGTGTCCCTACTGTTGATCTCCTTTTTCGCCATTCTCTGCCTCTGTTGTTTTGCAATTTGGCTGCATTGTTTCCTGATAGTGTCTGCTGCTGTTTTCCGGGAGCTACATTTTCGACCCAATCCCGGTTACTCAATTGGGAATGCGGACCTTATTGACCCAGGCGACGTCCAAGCTGGTGGTCAACATGTACATTGGATTTCTTTCGTCTTTTTTCTTCACGACCAAAGTACCATCACCCTTTCGTCTGACCCTCCTCCTTTTTCTTCAGACTTGGGACTGGGTCAGATATCCACTGAACGAACATAAGAAAAAGTATTTGTAATTGTCTTCCTGGCGCAGTGGCAACCAACGGAGAGATTCCTAGATGGGTTCCACTGATGCTCGACTGGGAAAATGCATGATGACCCTAGCCCAGATGTTCTGGACCACGTGATGTTAGTCTAGGTTCTTGCCAGAGCGCCGCACTGCATTTGAGCATTTGCATGGTCTCTGGCGTGATGAGACACAGTGTGTGTTGGTAGCTGTGAGCCACTTACAGTACTACTGAGCCACCTGGCCGGATGCATAGCCTATTCGTGGAAAACTATTATCGTTGTGCAACTACATAATGGGACATCCTTTGCCAGTACCAACATATGAGAATAGGTTTTCCCCTTTTTTCTGGCAACAAAACAGGTGTTAAGATGTTAAAACACCAAACTGAAACCTTTTACAAGGAATCAGAAAAAATGGGAAAACCTATTCTCATATTATTGTTGTATGAAATACATTTCTCTTCCTGCATGACAAAGTTGGTATATCGATATTTGCTTATACTGCCAGCCCTGGTGCTAAGAGCATTATGTGTCACCTAGGTTCCATATTCTGGACATCATTCTTTCCATGTGCAGCCACATGCGTGATCTGGAGACAAAGAAAATCGTCACCATGCATAACTCCCCGGTTGTAACTCTGTGTGTCGTCAGTGTTGGCCAGGAGGGTGGGGGAGCGCAATGGAAATGAGCGTGGCTCTGCTGGTGACATTCGTCCTGATGGCAGGACCTGCGTGGAGCCATGGGGATTCCATCTTCAGCAGCTGCCAGATAAGAGGAGACAAAGCCAACTGCTCACGCCTGGGCCTGCAATCTGTGCCTGAATACCTCCCAGTCACCATAGCCTCTTTGGACATGTCCTACAACCAGATCTCTAGCATTCAGAGAGAGCACCTGTCAGCACTTTCACAGCTAAAATCTCTCAATGTGTCCTTCAACCAAATATTAAGCATTGACCCCTTGGCTTTCTCAAATAACTCTGCTTTAGAAAACATTGACTTGAGTAATAACAGATTACCAGGGGCATGGGATGACTCATTTGCTCTTCTCAAGTCTGTAAGGTCTCTGGACGTCAGTAACAACTCTTACATTTATTTATATATTCCAGGTTCCTTCACAATTCTCAAGACTCTGCATCATCTGACGGTTGGGGGCCTGAATGTCACTGAAATTCACCAAAGTATCAGCGAGACAATGGAACTGGAACATCTCTCCATTGTGACTGGAGACCTGACCATCTACACTCCAGGATCCCTCTCAGCATTCTGCAGTCTACAGAGTGTGACTCTGGCCTTAACCATGCACACAAACATTTCACTGCTCACTGGTATGATCTGTGATGTCTCCGGTAACAGTGTGGAGTTGCAATTGGAGTTCCTTGATTTTACTAATTACTCTGGCGACGTAAACCCTTTTGAATGTGTTTCTAAGCAATACAGCATTCTAGAAATATTCAATGTATCACATTTGCAAGTAACAATCCCGACCATTGTCTTTCTTTTCACAAGCATCATTAGTTCTAGTAAACTGGTTGCAGTGAACATGCGGCACATAAATTTTGATGGCCTTAGTGATTTTCCGAGGGAAATGTTGCCAAGTCCAAACATATCTGTACGTCACCTCCTCATAGAGGGAATCTACAACCCAAACTTTCATGGTATTTTCGACGTAAAAAATGTAAATGTACTTTCCTCAAATCTAGAATCTTTGGTCATGACTGATGCTAGCCTTATCAGCCTTGGATGTAGCATTGTAAATAACTTTGGTAATCTATACTTACTTGACATATCAAATAACAAACTAAATGAAAATTCTGTATGTGGAAAAATACACTCTGCAAACCTTGAAAAACTCAACAAGCTAATTCTGCGCAAAAATATTTTCACTTCCCTTGATACAGTTGGTGCCATGTTAAAAAACTTACTGTCTTTGACATCGTTGGACGTGTCTAAAAATAGGCTACGCAAGAATGGAGAGTCAGGATGTGAGTGGCCTTTGAGTTTGAAATTCCTTAATGTGTCTCGTAATTTCCTAAAAGAAAATGCATTTAACTGTCTACCCACATCACTGCACTCGCTGGATGTGAGCAACAATAAAATTCAGAATGTTGACTTTAAATTGATAAAGTTTGAAAAGCTCAAAGAGCTGTACTTGAGTAATAACAAGCTGAGCACCTTCCCAGTTGAGCTGCCCAAGGCTCTGCCCTGGCTGAAGGTGCTGACGATCGCTGGGAACACATTGTGGACAGTGGATCCCTCTGTCCTGCACGGTCTGGGTAATCTCACCTTGCTAGACATGAGGGGAAACCCATTCTATTGCACGTGCGACATCCGCCACTTTATCACCTTCTGTGAAAATTCCTCACCATTGCGCATTGAAGGATGGCCATCTGACTACCAATGCTCAAATCCAGAGGATGCAATTGGTAAACAGCTGTCCTCGCTCTCCTTCCCCACACTCTACTGTGACACAACACTGAAGATCGTGATAGCTTGTGTTACAACATTTGTGTGCACCGCTCTCCTGGTCTGGCTCTGCTGGTACCTAGATGCGCTGTGGTATCTGCGCATGACGTGGGCTTGGCTCCAAGCCAAGCGACGGAATTTCCTCTCAGATCCGGATGAAAATGCAGTCTACGATGCGTTTGTGTCGTACAGCCAGTACGACGCAACCTGGGTAATGGAGAAGCTCCTGCCTGAGCTAGAGTCGCATTCAGTACCACCGTTCCGACTCTGCGTGCACGAGCGGGACTTTGTCCCCGGCCGCGTCATCATGGACAACATCATTGACTGCATCGAGCAGAGCCGCAAGACTCTCTTTGTCATCTCGCGGAGCTTCGTGGAGAGCGAGTGGTGCCACTACGAGCTGTACTTTGCACAGCAGCGCCTCATGGAGAGCCGAGACGGTGCTCTGGTGCTCGTGCTGTTGGAGCCCATCCCGCGCGACTCAGTGCCCAGCCGCTTCTGCCGGCTGCGTCGCCTAATGGCGCGCAAGACCTACCTGGAGTGGCCTGTGGAGCAAAACAAGCAGGCCCTCTTCTGGGCCAACCTACGAGCCACGCTCAGCTCTCAGAGAGAGCAGGAACCCAAACACCTTGAAATTGTTGTACAGTGAGTCCCCGCTTAATACGGCGGTTGCGTTCGTGAAAACTGCTGCGTAGATTCGCGTTAAGTTGGAGTGATTTTCCCACAAGGAATAACGGTGAATGTCGGGGGTTCCGTTCCAGCCCACCGTGTTATTTTTGTTTTCATTTGACAGTACAGTACAGTTTTCCATGTTTTTTTAAGGGTTGTATTTACATAGTATTTCTATAAATACGCTATGTCTGACAATCATTGATTTAATATAACGTGAGAGAGATATGAAAAATATGAGATGACGCTGCACACAAAGATGCTGCCAAAACACAGTAACAGGACTACAGTACCACTCCTACAGTACTACAGCACCAGTGCTACCGTGCTAATACTATAGTACCAGTACTGCAGTCTACAATGCATAATAAAGGTTTTTGGGTTAGATCGCGTCATTTATAAATGTATACCACACAACCTGGGTAATGGAGAAGATCCTGCCTGAGCCGGAGTCGCATTTAGTACCACCGCTACGACTTTGGGTGCACGAGCGGGACTTTGTCCCCAGACGCACCACAGTACTAGTGCTACAGTACTTCAGTGGTCGTACTACGGTACCAGCATTACAGTACTAAAGTGCCAGTACTACTGTGCCACAGTAGTACAGTACCAGCACTTTGGTGCCAGTACTACACTGCTCGTGCTACAGCACCATTACTACAGTACTACAGTGCCAGTACTAGTGTCGAGGAGTAGTCGATGACATCACGTCACGCTCACCCTCTGATGAGGCGGACTTTCCGGTACGATGACGTCACAGTCGGTGACGTCTTGCACAAGGAGTGGAGCGATGACATCATGTCTCCCTGGGGTACTTGAGCCGAAGCCCGTGACGTGGGCGGGGTCGTCGCAGGAGCCCGGGAACGTGAACGGTGGAAGTCAAGTTCAAGTTCATTTATTAGGTATAGCCCTGTGAGCCATTCAGCTCTTGAATCGGGTGCAACCGCAACAAACAAAAAACAAAAACATGAACAAAAAAATCTTAAAGTGAATATGTGACTAAGTGCAAACAGAAAATCCAAGAAAAGACAGCAAAAATATTGCAGAAAAAACACCGTACACCAACGCTGTGTGCAAAAATCTCAGTGGGATGCAAGTCAAACAACAACAACAACCACAAGACAGCTTAGATTAAGGCCATCAGTCTAACTCTGTACTACAACAAACAAACATGGCTAAACCAATACACTTTTCGAAATCACCAAAATAAAGCCATGAAAGCAATGAAAAAGCAATCATAGGAACTGTGACGGAATTTTCACAATAAATGGCATAAACAACATGTACTACCAAAACCCTGCAGCCATAGCTGGCTGCATGAGTCACTCCACAACAGCAGGAGCATCAATCGGAGTATTGTAATTTTTCAATGTACCTTTAAGATCAGCACACTAAATCAAAACACAGGTCATACTTTGTAGCGATCATCCGGAGCGAAACATTTTATTTTAGGTCACTGAATAGCACTGGCAGCTAGGGGTGTACAACTCCTCTAGAGCAGTTTTGAGTGAAGATCTCATAGGTAGTGACTCAAGTTTCAGTTTATTTGCAACAGCATTCCAGACCCTGGGGGCATCAATTGCAAAGGCCCTTCCTCCAGTATATGTACGGCAATAGGGAATATTAAGCTGGTAAATGAGTGTAGACCTTAGGTCAAATTTGTTCTTTGAAACAGAGACGAGATCCAGCAGGTAATCTGCAGATTTTTTTGCAAGTACATCATGAATAAATAAGATCTGGTGCACAAGCCGTCGAACATTCAGAGATGTTAAGTTTGACCCAATGTAGAAATCACAGTGGTGAGTCCTATATGGGCAGTTCAATGCAAATCTTAAGGCCGAGTGATACATTGAGTCAAGCTTCTTCAGTACAGTACTTGGGGCTGATTTATACACAATGTCACAGTAATCAAGTAGAGGCAGTATGGTAGCTTTAATCAATTCCAAACGGAACATAGGGGGGAAGCAGTGCTTGTGTCGATATAGAAAACCAATTTTAAATTTTGTCTTTTTCCCAATATAATCAATGTGATCTTCAAAATTCAGTTTTGAATCCAGGATGACCCCAAGATACTTATAGATCTTGACTTGCTCTATTTGATCATTATTTAAGGTATGTAATTGGGGAAAAATAACTTCCCGCTTTAGTCCTGGTGAGAAGCATAGCACCTTGGTTTTGGCAGGATTTAGGACTAGTTTAAGAGCAACTAGCTGATGTTGTAGTTTGTTGAAATCACTCTGGAGCTTAGCAATCACGTCATCCGGAGAGCGGCCAGCAGTAATTAGTACCGTGTCATCTGCAAAAAGATTTACCCTGGAATAATCCAGTTCAGTGCCCAAGTCATTTACATAAAGAGAGAACAAGAGGGGGCCGAGAATGGAACCCTGTGGAACCCCTTTAGTTATCTTAACACTGTTTGACCTCCAACCCTCTGTGAATACAGTTTGGGTGCGAGAAAAGAGGAAATTTTTTAACCATTTTACTGTGTTTTCGGAAAAACCGAGGCAACTTATTTTACTAAGCAGGATGTTGTGGTCTACTGTATCAAAAGCTTTGGACAAGTCAAGAAAAAGACAGGCGCAGTACTGCTTATTATCAAGGCTACTGTAAATGTGATTCAGAGAGTCTAATGCAGCAGATGTGGTGCTGTATTTTTTTCGGAACCCAGATTGTTTTAGATGTAATAGATTGTTGGCGGACAGGAAACTGCTAATTTGGTAGGTCAATAATTTTTCAAAAATTTTCATCAACGGGGACAAAATTGAGATAGGTCGGTAGTTATTTGGATCATCTTTAGGGCCCCCTTTGTGAAGTGGACGAACATAGGAATGTTTCCATTCTAGAGGAACTGATGCTTCTTTGATGGACAGGTTGAAAATATGGGCTATAGGTTTGTATATTAGGTGACCAACACTTAGTAGAGCAAAGACGGGAATACTATCTGCTCCGGTAGAGGAGGACCCTTTGAGGTAGGACAGTTGTTTCAGAACATTACTTTCGTGGATTGGCTGAAAACTAAATTCGCTTAATGTTTGGATAGGGGTGTAGGAATTTGCATGAGCAGGGGTGACTCCCAATACATTTTCAAATAGGGTACCAGCTTCAGAAAAATGAAGGTTAAAATTGTCAACTATTTTTTGGGGATCTGAAAAATATTCCCCATTTCGGTTAAGCTGAACGGGCAGATGATCTGTTTTGGATGCCTTTTCGATACATTTGATTGTTTTCCAGAAAATCCTGGCATTTCCATGAGATTCAAGGAGAGTGGAAGAGAAGTAGTTATTTTTTGCATGCCGTATTTTTTTGACGCATCTATTCCTTAAAATCCTGTATTCTAGCCAGTCATTGACCAAATTACTTTTCTGAGCACATGCCCAAGCCTTGTCCCTAGTTTTCATGAGCTTTGTAATCAAAGGATCAAACCATGGTGGACGGTTGCCTTTAGTTTTAAATTTAACCAACGGAGCATGTTTGTTAAGAATTTGGAGAAACGTGTACCTGAAGGTCTCCCAAGCCATAGTCAGGTTTGGAATATCACAGACCTTGTCAATATCTGAGTGAAGCACATCATTAGTAAATGCCTGAGTGCTGAAGTGTCTCATGGAGTGCTTCTCAACCAATTTAGGGGGGGCTTTGGGTCTGACTGATGATCTCACCCCAAAAATGAAGGAGTGATCACTAAGGTTATTACCTAGAACACCAGCCAGTGCGAAATTGTGAGGGGCATTTGTCAATAGGACGTCAAGCAGAGATGACTGTCCCGGATTTTTTAGGTTGGGTCTTGTGGGGACATTTATTAATTGAAACAGGTTAAATTCATCTGCAAAATTTGTGGCCACGGCCGGCGGGTTTAGCCAATTCCAATTTAGATCACCCACTAAAACGATTTCACCTTTAGGGAGGCCCCCAAGAAGCTCTCTCAGTGCAGATGCAGCTTCAACATCCTTCCCACTAGGCGGTCTATAGCAGCACACTACCAATATGTGTTGATTATTAGGGAGAGTTATTCTGAGAGCCAGACCATCAAAGCAACATTTTTTAAACAAGGAGTGAGCTGGTGAACATGCAATAGTATTACGAACATAGATGGCAATTCCACCTCCTTTAGATCCTCGGTCAAGCCGAAAAAGATTGTAGTTGTCAATCGTAATCTGCAAGTCATTGACGGCAGGAGTGAGAAATGTTTCTGTTAGGCAAAATATGTCCGGGTCAAGATTTGCTACTTCTAGTTTTAGTTGACTTAATTTAATCAAAAGCCCTCTGATGTTGACATGTAGAACACCAACACCTTTTCTGCCAGAAAAATCTACAGAATTATATGAGTTCTTTATATTTGGTCCAGGATGAAGCTCAATACCACCCAGAAATAAGAAAAGTAGAATTAATAGTTTGCACAGGTATTTTCTGTGAAAGGATGAAGAGCGACGAACCTTGGACGAATAGCAGCAGCTCGCAGATGGTGTTATTTTTAAGAGCAGAATGAAGTTTGGAAGGAGTGCTGGTGAAGTAATGGGACAAAGATAGGGTTTAAAAGGATATAATGATGGAGTGTAGAAGTGTCTATAAGTTGTTTCATTAGCAGGTGTAGTTGCAAATTTAGCAATAAGTATTGACGCGAAGTAACACGGGTAGCCGTTTGTAGAGTTGAGTGTGGCACTAGATATGGCCGGGAGGGACAGTAGTAAGATACACAGCAGGTGAATTGACATCTTTAAAACACTAAATTTAAACACACACACAGCTCACTCACACGCAGCTCACCCTCACCCACTCTCACGCACAGCCCACACCCATGCAGCACAACGCACACGCGGCCGCACACGCCGCCGCCATCTTGCTGCTGTTGTTGTTGCAGCTGCTGCTGTTGTTGCTGCAGCTGCTGCTGTTGTTGCTGCAGCTGCTGCTGTTGTTGCTGCAGCTGCTGCTGTTGTTGCTGCAGCTGCTGCTGTTATTGCTGCAGCTGCTGCTGTTGCTGCAGCTGCTGCTGCTGCTGCAGCTGCTGCTGCTGCAGCTGCTGCTGTTGTTGCTGCAGCTGCTGTTGTTGCTGCAGCTGCTGTTGTTGTTGTTGTAGCTGCTGTTGTTGTTGTTGTAGCTGCTGTTGTTGTTGTTGTAGCTGCTGTAGCAGCTGCAGCCGACCCAACTGCAGTTGCAGGAGTCATACACGAAGCAGCCGCAGCTGTGTGTACTACAGCAGAGCAGCAGCGGCCGTGCGGCCTGGAGGCGCCGAGGCTGAATAGTTGCGTGATGTGGACGTGGAGAGACGAGATGTTTGGCCCATCAGCTTCATTGTTCTGCTTCCATTGATGAGCGCCCTCCACGTAGGCCTCGACGTAGGCCCCCACGTAGGCCCCCACGTGGGCCCCGACGTAGGCCTCGAAGTAGGCCTCGACGTAGGCCCCGACGTAGGCCTCTATGTAGGCCCCCGTGGGCCCCCGACGTAGGCCTCGACGTAGGCCCCGACGTAGGCCTCGAAGTAGGCCTCGATGTAAGCCTCTATGTAGGCCTCCACGTAGGCCTCGACGTAGGCCCCGACGTAGGCCTCGAAGTAGGCCTCGATGTAAGCCCCCACGTAGGCCTCAACGTAGGCCTCGACGTAAGCCCCCACGTAGGCCCCGACGTAGGCCCCGACGTAGGCCTCGAAGTAGGCCTCGATGTAAGCCCCCACGTAGGCCTCGACGCAAGCCTCCACGTAGGCCCCGACGTAGGCCTCGAAGTAGGCCTCGACGTGAAGAACTGGTCCGTTGATAAGACAGTCTATTGAGCACTGGTGCGATGTTGTTTTCTTCAGTGCACCGAACACTTAAAGACACAGCTCACCTTATTTTGCTCAACACGGAAGTTTCAG